GTTTGTAAATAAAGTGTAAGGTTTGTAAATAAAGTGTAACGTTTGTAAATAAAGTGTAAAGTTTGTAAATAAAGTGTGAGGTTTGTAAATAAAGTGTAAAGTTTGTAAATAAAGTGTAAAGTTTGTAAATATAAAGTGTAAGGTTTGTAAATAAAGTGTAATAATTGTAAATAAAGTGTAAGGTTTGTAAATAAAGTGTAATGTTTGTAAATAAAGTGTAAAGTTTGTAAATAAAGTGTAAGGTTTGTAAATAAAGTGTAAGGTTTGTAAATAAAGTGTAAAGTTTGTAAATAAAGTGTGAGGTTTGTAAATAAAGTGTAAGGTTTGTAAATAAAGTGTAATGTTTGTAAATAAAGTGTAATGTTTGTAAATAAAGTGTAAAGTTTGTAAATAAAGTGTAAAGTTTGTAAATAAAGTGTAAAGTTTGTAAATATAGAATAAAGTTTTGCGTGCCGAGCACAGTTTGGGTGCAGAGAAGACAGATGTATTGTACACACACAATGACGGTATCCCGGGTATAATAAATAGTATTATATGCATATAATGACTGATTGCTTGTTCATGATAAAGTGGTCTGGGTACCCCCAAATGGCGGACTTCTATTGGGTCTCATGTTTGTCAGGACCCCAAAATATGTTTTGATTTGAATCGTTGGTGAAAAAAAGGACTTTGTGAAATGTCACTTCCAATATTCAGTAATGTTCCAAATAAAAACACGGGGAGCTGTCAGCACACAGCAGAGTTCAGGGGACCCCAATCCCTGTCCCATGATATACATTGTATCCATGATACTTTCCTGTGTATATGATACTATGGAGTATTCAATATGTATAGGAAGATATGATGTATAGTGAGTACAGGACTATATATATATAGGACTGTGTATATATAGCTGTATATAGGACTGTGTATATAAGACTGTGTATATAGGACTGTGTATATATAGCTGTATATAGGACTGTGTATATAGGACTGTGTGTATAGGACTGTGTGTATAGGACTGTGTGTATATAGCTGTATATATGACTGTATATATAGGACTGTGTATATAGCACTGTGTATATATAGCTGTATATATGACTGTGTGTATAGGACTGTGTATATATGACTGTGTATATAGGACTGTGTATATAGGACTGTGTATATAAGACTGTGTATATATAGGACTGTGTATATAGCACTGTGTATATATAGCTGTATATATGACTGTGTATATAGGGCTGTGTATATAGGACTGTGTATATAGGGCTGTGTATATAGGACTGTGTATATAGGGCTGTGTATATATAGCTGTATATAGGACTGTGTATACATAGCTGTATATAGGACTGTGTATACAGGACTATGTATATAGGACTGTGTATATAAAGCTGTATATATAGGACTGTGTATATAGGGCTGTGTATAGGACTGTGTATATATGGCTGTATATATATAGCTGTATATAGGACTGTGTATATAGGACTGTGTATATATGGCTGTGTATATATAGCTGTATACAGGACTGTGTATAGGACTGTGTGTAGGACTGTGTATAGGACTGTGTGTATAAGACTGTGTATATACGGCTGTGTATATAGGACTGTGTATACATAGCTGTATATAGGACTGTGTATACAGGACTGTGTATATATGGCTGTGTATATATAGCTGTATATAGGACTGTGTATATATGGCTGTGTATATATAGCTGTATATAGGACTGTGTATATAGGACTGTGTATATATGGCTGTGTATATATAGCTGTATATAGGACTGTCTATATAAAGCTGTATACAGGACTGTGTGTAGGACTGTATACAGGACTGTGTGTAGGACTGTGTATAGGGCTGTGTGTATAGGACTGTGTATATACGGCTGTGTATATACGGCTGTGTATATAGGACTGTGTATATAGGACTGTGTATATAAAGCTGTATATATAGGACTGTGTATACAGGACTGTGTATATGACTGTGTATACAGGACTGTATATAGGACTGTGTGTACAGGACTGTATATAGGACTGTGTATACAGGACTGTATATAGGACTGTGTGTACAGGACTGTATATAGGACTGTGTATATAAAGCTGTATATATAGGACTGTGTATACATTCGGTTGCAGTGTATCTCTCCTCCATCATTGTGTACATATAATGACATGTATTACACTTTGATGATATTTGTACGTTTCTCTCTCGCGCTGCGCTGACTTTATACTTTGTTGGACTTCCTGCTCTCTATGGGGGAAGTTGTTTGTCTCCCCGAATATAGTGTTTGCACCCCTCCTCCTCTTCTCCTTCTATACAGGGTGTAGATCCGCATTATAAACAGGGGGTGACCCCAGGAACCTCCACTTCCTCAATTCACCTTGTTCTGCCCCCCTCACTGCCAATGTAAACCGCACCGCGCGTTACCGCAAACACACCGCACCGCGCGTTACGGCAAATACACCGCACCGTGCGTTACCGCAAACACACCGCGCGTTACCGCAAACACACCGCGCTGTACGTACAGCCGTTCATTTTCTATAGCACCTTAACGCACTGCAGCGCCCGTGTGACGCATCACCATGGATGGGAACGATCCGCGTGTCGCATTAGGAAACGCATGGCCTGCAGCGTCCTTGGTTAGGTTGCGGCCCGTTCGTTCTTGCTGCAACACCCTGAACCGCGTGACACGGCGCATTTAACGCAAAGCACAGGCGTGAGCCGAGAGCGCGCCACAAATTTACGGCGAACGCTCTGACCTGGCGGATGGATGGAAAGGACGGCGTTTCTTTAGGTCGGCGTCGGCGATTCGTAAATGGCGCTCTCTGCCAAAGCGGCGAACGACCGCAGGCTCGCCTTCCCGAAGCGAGGACCCCCACCTGCCCGATTTTTTTCACGACGCATAACGTTTCGCCGCGGTGATAAACGCTTGACATTCTCCGCGGGAGTTAAACTCGGAGAGGGACCGTCAGTGGCGGTGGGTGGGAGGGGTTAAAGGTCACCCACATTGTTATTAAGATTCCTGGTCTGGTAAATTATAGGCTGGCTGCAGCTGCAAATACCCTCCGAGTGTAAACAGATACAAAAATATCTCGCCCGCAGCGCAGGACGACTCGCCGGGCGACGCTTGGAGGGCGGCCATGATGAGTACGGCGGTGGCGAAGGTGCAATAACATACACGATGCAAAAGGGGGGGAGGGGAAGGTCGGTGGGCGAATTTGTCGTCCATTATAACAAAATTAGATGCGACCGCCATCTTTTCCCGGTCTCATGCGATTCCTGCACGATTCAGGTTTTCATGCTATCACTTGCTATAACTCAGCCCCTCCCCCACCGTTCAACACTTCTTTCCTGCAGTCTGGTTGGCAGGCGGCTCAAGAACGGACCCAGGGGGGCTTCTGCCATCATTGCTGGGAACTGAGCAGCGGGGACGCCATGTTATCTCTCACACACCAGCAGTAAGTCCACCCCGCTGGTCATCAATGGCGCGCTAACACTTTCTCGGTGCGGGATACCTGGCTTCAAGGCGGCAGATAACAATAACTAGGGGATCCACTGCCTGTGGCTCATCCAATGGCGGGCTTCCCACCACTACCCTGAACCCCAAAACTTCACCCAGCCCATCAAATGAACCCTTTACATTCAAACCCCTTCCCCACCCTAACACGTAACATACATGTCACAATGTGATTGTACAATATCTAACATGTATGTAGTACAGGGACCGGCGCCGCCTCCTTACATGGACAACAACAACCAATGTGAATACAACATGGAACGTCCTGAGAATCTGATTTCCTGATGCGAACCCCCAAATGGGGGTATCTGGGGGTCCCAATGCCATTGGAGTTCTATGCCATTGGAGGGGTCATGGAGGCTTACCGTGTGTGTGCAGCAGAA